ACATCGTATTTTTAAACAGGTTGAATATTTTGGAAGTGAATTCTGGAAGGTGAATATGAATTATTGATTTTTTAATTATGAAAATGTGTGTGAAACATTTTGAATCAAAATATTCACAGCTTAAATAAACAACTATGTTAGATTTCAGGACCTAAAAATGCAAGCCCTGGAAATACAAGGCATTAAAATGCAAGCACTGTTAATGAAATGCATTATTTTTTCAGTTAGTGCTATTCAACGTGCTTTTTTGTTTCAAAGACATATGGCATTATTGTACTTCCATACACTTGGAATTAAAAAATATATTAAATGATACTATTAAACTATATTATTACAAACAGTATTAAATAAGCTTCTCTTTCTTGAGTCTAGCCAGCAATATTGAGATTCTGATGTCCAAACCCATTAAATGCTACAGTCTGCTGTGTCAGGCCATGGACATGTGGCTCGACTCGGAGGCTATACAGGAGACTGGATGCCGTTTGTTACTGAAATTCACATCAGGTGAGCCCAGGTCAAAGGTCATGATGAAACTATGTTCTCAGAACTTTTAGAAAGTGGTTTATTTTTGGAGTTATGTTATGTCTTTTGGCATTCAACAGAGAGTTACTATAACATACTGGTGCTGAATGGTGTCCATAAGGTGGCGGTGAAAGCGTGTGTCTCATATCCTGAGAATGCCACAGTGCAGACCACTGCCCTCTCCTGCTTGAGCGCGCTCGGTGAGTCAATATGGACACGGAAATGAACAAGATAGTACAGTATAAGATGAGAACCTGGCTCTCCACTGGATCCCTTAGAGCCCATATTTAAGGTGGAGTGCAATTTTTTTGTGATTGTTATTCATCATAAAATGGACATGACTAACAGAGCCAGCTGGGCACTTTAAGTAAGCAGTCCACGTCCATTTTGACGTCCTCAGAAGGCCAAAAGCCTGGGCACATTCTTCAGAGTAGTTCACCAAGGCTGCATTCATTTGATAAAAAATACAGTAAACAGTAGTATTGTGAAATATTATTACAATTTTACATCAGTTTTTAAACTGTAATTTATTTCTGTGATCAAAGCTGAATTTCCAGCATCATTACTCCAGTCTTCAGTGTCACATGATCTTCAGAAATCATTCTAATATGCTGATTTGCTGCTCAAGAATTTTTTCTGATTATTACGAAATAATATTATTTTGGTAAACTACCATTCAAAAGTTTGGGGTCAGATTAAAAAAGAAGAAGAAAATAATACTTTTATTTAGTAAGGATGCATTAAATTGAGCAAAATCCCAGTAAAGACATTTATAATGTTACAAAAAAATAAATAAAAAATCTCTTTAAAATTAATGCTGTTCTTTTAAACTTTTTATTCATCAAAAAAATCCTATAAAAGGTAACACCGTTTCCTCAAATATACCGAGCATCAAAAAACTGTTTTCAGCATTGATAATAATAAGAACCGAGCGTCAATAATAATTGAGCACCTAATCAGCATATTAAAATGATTTCTGAAGGATCATGTGACACTGAAGACTAGAGTAATGATGCTGAAAATGCAGCTGTACATCATAGGAATAAACTGCATTTTTAAATATGTTACAATAGAAATTAATTATTTTAAAATGGGATTTTTTTTTTAATCATTTTACAGTTTTCATCATTAAATAAATGCAGCCTTGATGCGAATAAGAGATTTGTATTTATTTAGTTTTCCCCCACTGTATTATAAATAACCTATTTCACAATCGTGATTTGTGGCGGCACTCATGTTTTTTGTTTTTTTTGGGCTCCATACAGTACTAATGTTTTTGTTGTTGTTTCTCAGCGGAGTGTATTGTACAGAATGAAGAGCTGGACAAAGAGTGGAACGAGGAGGACGAGGCGAAACCGAAAGAAGCCACTCAAGGAGAGGAGATGCTTATCTGGAGAGAGGCCTGTTATACTGCTTTAGAGAGACATGCTGACGATGCTGCAGTGCAGGTGACACATGACATGTTTTAGCCTGCAATACGGAAAAGATCTTATCATCTCGTTCTTTTGCTTTTATTATAGTGAATAACTTTCTCTCCCATCGTCCAATCAGGAAGCTGCATGTTGGGCTTTAAACAGCTTGCTGCTACATTACCACTCATTCAACCGTGTGGAACTGGAAGGAAGGTTAGCATTCCTTCATATTCTGTGCTATATTTTGTCCGAAAGTCCTCTTATAATTAGAGATGGAGAGCAATATTATTGAAATAAATAAATGACTTCAGTTATGATTGGCTAACCTCTGCATACTAGCGCAGTTAAAACTGCTGAATACTGAATATTTCAATGATATATTATGTCATACCTACGAATATTTGGTTTGTTTCTGTCCCACAGGCCTCCTCTTCATTCTGTAATCATGGCTGCCATGCTTTTGCATTCATCCAGTGCGGAGGTTTTCCAAGCTGCTTCCTGTACACTACGCACACTAATACAGCACCACAGTAAGCTCATTTCTTCTTCAGTCATAGATATATACAGAGAGACTGTGTTTGAAATGTCAAATAAGTTTGTAAACTACATTTTCAATAATTATGTTTTAATAATCTTTTGTCAAGCTTTACAAAAAAAGTAGCCTACACTTATTTTGATATGTTGACTAACATACTAAAGCACATTTTAAATGTACAAAATTGCAACTTCATCAATTCAGTTAAGTATATTTTAGTCTACCAAAAATATTTGTCGGTGCATTCAGCAGTGCACTTTAACCATATAATACTAGCACTTACCTATTCTATTCTATTCTGTTCTAATTCTAATTCTATTCTACTTCTGCTCTACACTGCAAAAAATATTTTATTTTTATTTTTGTGTTGTTTTCTAGTACACATATCTAAACATTCTTGAATCAAAATAAATGTACTTGAGAAGCAAAATGACTTAAGATATTAAGTCTTCTGTCTTAATTTGTTTTTTATTATTATTTTTTAGGAAAATAATATTTGTTTTTATAATGTTAATAATATTTTTTCAGGAGTCAAGACTTAATATCATTTTGCTTCTCAAGTAAATTCAAGAATGTGCAGATAGTTGTACTAGAAAACAACACAACAATATTAAATAAGAAAGTCATTTTTTGCAAAGTAGGGATGTGTCTCAGAAAACGATCAGTTTGTGTTTTTGTGCTTCAGGTAGGATGAGGGCTCTGCTGCTGTCACATGGCATTCATGTCAACCTTGTGCATCTGATGCGGAAGCACGAGAGCTCCAGCGCTGTGTGTGAAAGTGCCTGCAAACTGCTTCACACACTCTTCCAGGGAGCGTAAGCACACACAACTCCCACATCTGATCATTTATGGCAGGTATAACAGACAAAAACACAACTGAAATCATCATTTTATTTCACTCCAGGAGGGCCAGTCTAGATGACGCGACCCTGATTCTCGGTCAGATCCTGACTGCTCTGAAAACACATAACTTCGTTCCTGAAGTTCAGCTGGAGGGTCTCAGAGCGAGTTTAGTTCTTCTCAGCCCGGGTAGAATGTCTGTCTACTTCCTGTGTATCTTGTTTTGTTGGAATGGATCTGCAAGCATTGTGTTTTTAGTTCATTGATGGAATATTTAAAATAAAAATTACTCACCCTCATATTGTTCCAAATTCATGACTAAATGATGACTGGGTGAACTACAATGCCTACATACGTAATGTCTGACTCTTTGTTTTCTTTTGTGTGCAGACAGGAGTTTAAGAGAACATGGCACCTCAGTGGCGGATCCTGAGATGGTGGACGTGTCCCTGCGGGTGCTGAAGAACCAGTGTGTACTTGAGGGAGCTCACACTGTCTATCTAGAGGCACTTAATAGGGTAAATGCTTTGTTTCTTACAAGCTAAAATAGTTCTGTAATTCAACATGCATGATAATGCATGAAGTCTTGTGCCCAAAGGGCACCTATTATGCCCCTTTTTACAAGATGTAATATAAGTCTCAGGTGTCCCCAGAATGTGTCTGTGAATTTTCGGCTCAAAATACTCAAAATAAATAATGAATTTGGCTTTGATTATCATGTCCATCGCACTGAAATCATGCGTTTTAAACCACATTAGTTTAAACTTCTGATATACGGTTTTCTGAGAGCACACATTCGAAGCGAACGCACAGAAAGCGGCTGTCACACGACATGTGAGTCCTAAACTAAGCTCTCTTTCATGTCTTATTGCGCTTAAACCGTCAAATACACACAAGTTTATGTTGAAAACACACATAAGTTACAAAAACAGTTATGTCCGTGAAGGTAAACAGCTGGGAAAGAAAATGTTTATTAATCTCAGCTTAATATGCAGAGACAACTAGTGTATCGCCACAAAAATTACGATTTAAGCATCTTTACAGCTCAAAATGCATAAGAATTAAAGGGATAGTCCACCAAAAAGGAAAATTCTGCCATCAATTACTCACTCTCTTGTTGTTGCACACCTATTTGAAGACTTTCGTTTATCTTCAAAACACAAATGAAGATATGTGTAACGAAACCTAAGAGATTTCTTTCACTCCACTCAAGGTCCATTCCACTAAAACTTCAATGCTTCAGAAAGTTCACAAAAGCTTTCAAAAGGTAACTGTTTGAGTTGAGCGATTTAATCTAAGTCTTCTGAAGGGACACAATGATTTATATGATAAACAGATTTAATTTAGGCTTTTATACACTTAAACATTGATCAGCACACATATATAAAGCACATCAAATATGGTAAACGGAAGCTCAAATACTGTATGCTTTCTTGTCCCACTAGAACCAATGAAGTTTGTTCTTGTGTGTGAAGTATGGTTAAACTGCTGTTTATGGCCTATTTTTTACTCTCTTTAAAAACCTTTTGAAGCATGAAAGTTTTGGTGGATAAGACTTTAAATTAAGGGACAGAATATATATATATATATATATATGTTGATGAATGAAATGAATGAATGTCTGTGGAGTACCATAACTGATGACAGAATTTTTATTGTTTGGAGGTGAGCTATTCCTTTAACATAATAACTGCTTTTAAACCCTCTCAAATATCTCTCCCCATAGACATCATGGCAATTTCATTACTGTAAACAGTATATTTTTGCATAAATAAACAAATAAAGGATGAGTGAAAATAATTGTCAGAGGTAGTCAACATTTTGCCTGAAATGCTGTCTGTATAGACTTCAACTTAAATTGGACCTGTAATACTCCTTGTAGGAATTGGACTTTAATCAGGTGGTTTTAATTTAAAATGTAAGTTCTGTAAATGTGGTGTGTTTCATTTGATATGTGTGTTTAGTTTATCAGTAGTGAGGAGATTCAAGGGTGTGGACTTGGTGTACTCTCAGCACTAGCTGACAGTTCTGGAGCGGTTGACCTCATGTGCCAGCAGGGGGCGATAGATACGGTTCTTCATACGCTGCAGATGTTTCCACAGGAGCGTGGTGAGTCCATTTACCTTACCATGACTGAAGACCTCCAGCCTCTGCTTCTAGTCCTAGGCAGACTTTTGAATGTCGACATAAGGTCTGGTCCACATTGCTGCTTATTCTGGACAAAAACCAACCACTGTTCAGGCATTCACACAGAACACATTTTTGCGTTCCACTATGCTGCTTTTCCATTGATTTTCTATGTAAACATGAGGTAAACGGACATGTTTGACCGTTGTGCTCTTGTCTCACATATTGTGTGATGACGTTTAATGCACTGCACACTATTGGGTATGTAAACAATTGTGCGCAACTGTATATTAACTGAAAGTCATCACCCTTTGCAGATGTTCACTACTGGGGTCTTAGTCTTCTGTTTCACCTCATCTCTAAGAAGAAGCTCTCTCGTATGATGGTGCCTGTACTGGCATCAGTTTTGGTCAGCTCAGTACGTCAACACAATGAGGACACAGTCATGCTTCTAAAGGTAGCTCACTAAAGTTATTACCATTTCAAAACCAAAAGGGTGGTTGTTTTTGATATTTTGTTCCTAACAGTGTGCGTTTTGGTCATTAGGGTTTCCAGGTGGTGTGGAAGTTATTGGACACCTGCTCTAGTGCCGCAGCATGGCTGCAAAAAGAAGACTTCGAGAAAGACATCTTCCAGATCCTCCGGGAAAATATGGCAGACCAGCGCAGAGATCCAGTAAGAAAATGAAACCAAAGTTCTGTCAAAAATGCAAGATCTCCTGATAAATCCTTCATGTTCCGCTTCAGTTGCAGGCAGTGAGTCGCCTGTGCCTGTCTAAGATGGTGGTGGACAGTGAGATCATGTATGCCCTGTTGGAGAGAGCGTGTGAGGACGGTGACGTGGACATGGCAGAATGTCTCATCCTGCTGGGCGCTGACATCAACAAGAAATCAAAGAGCGATTCGCTCATATATCAGGTTGTGATATATGAACCTTTATTCCTCAACTCTTAAAGGAATAGTAAATTGTACACCCTCAAGCCATCCTAGGTGTATATGCCTTTATTTTTCAGACAAACACAACTGGAGTTATATTAGATAATATCATGGCTCTTCCCAGCTTTGTAATGGCAGCTGAATGGTGCCCGAGTTTTTGAAGCTCCAAAAAGCTCATCCATCCATCATAAAAGTAATCCATACAACTACAGTGGGTTAATGAATGCCTTCTGAAGCGAATTGATGGGGTTTTGTAAGAAAAATATCCATATTTAAAACTTTGTAAATTATTATCACTGGCTTCCTTAACTTCTCTACGCATGTTCACAGGAGAGTCGAGTTTTGACATTTAATGTAGGATGTAGGCATAGTGGAAACTAAGGTGAGAATTGACAAATGTGGAAGTGCATTTTAATTTTAATACAAATCTATATTATAGCCAAAACAACTCACTTCTTTTTACAACTCACTCCAAAGAGAGGCGTCAGTTCTCAACTTAGTTTCCGCTATACCTACGTCCTATGTTAAACGTCGTAAAATCGAATCTAATCTATCTGTCTGTTTGATCGATATGTATGGATAGCCTTAAACCGTTCACATTTTTTCAAGTTTTTTAAAACTACTTGAAACTTTTAGTCAGGCTTATATTTTATATTTTATTCAGGAAGCTTGACTAACATTGTACCTGGACTTTGATTGCCATTCCTAGCAGTGAAGAACTGCTTTACCTTTATTTATATAGCGCTTTATACAATACATATTGTGTCAAAGCAGCTTTACAGTGTTAAACAGGAAAAATGTGTGCTGATAATGCAAGAGGACAATACTAAAAAGTATATTTTTCACTTAAAGTCAGTTCATTGTTGATTCAGTCAGTGATGTCGTCATTCAGCTCAGTTCAGTTCTCTTCAAATAGTGTCTGTGAAAAACTGACAGAGTGTGTCTGCCTCCCGAATAACGCTAGGTAGATTGTCCCAGAGTTTGTGCGCTAATTAGGAAATGATCTGCCGCCTGCAGTTGATTTTGATATTCTAGTATTATCAAATAGCATTATCAAATGGCCAGAGTTTTGTCAGTTTCTTGCTCAAATGCTGAGGAGCTAAACTATTCAGGGCTTTATAAGTAATCAGCAATATTTTAAAATGTATACAGTGTTTAAAGGGGTCATATGATGCGATTTCAATTGTTCCTTTCTCTTTGGAGTGTTACAAGCTCTTGGTGCATAAAGAAGATCTGTAAAGTTGCAAAGACTAAAGTCTCAAATCCAAAGAGATATTCTTTATAAAAGTTAAGAGTCAGCCACACCTCCCTAAAACGGCTCGTTCTAACACGCCCCCACATATCTACGTCATGATCAGGGCCGCATTAAGACCGCACTGGGCGCATATATATATATAGGGTACAACGGGGCTAAAGGCCCACCTTAAGAAAAAATGTGCCATTCACTGCGCCTAAAATGTATAATTGCAGAAAAAAAAATATATAATATAATAATTATTATATATTGAAAATTAATGGAGCAACAGATTTTGTGTGAAAATAAATCCTTCAAGTTGTTTATTCTGCTTAAAAATCGTATAAATGTATGAGGTGGCAAGAGGGGCCTTTTACCCCACACACGGGGTACACGGTATTGATACAAATACTTCAGCTAAAATAATGTTTTTTTTGTTTTAATGTTTTTGTCTCGTCGCTCCGGCCGGGACACGGCATCACAGTATGGTATAGGGCTGAACGATTTTGGAAAATAATCTAATTTTTTTTTACCAATATTGCGATTGCGATTTAATATGCATTTATTTTTTAAAGCTCTTTATGTTCTGTATTATTCAACAAAGTCAAGCTATATCATTGTATAGTATGACCAACACACTATTAGATAGATTAAACATAAATGTTATTTTCTGTAGGCAAGGCCTATATGTTATGATGAAATTAGGTAGATGCATGAATTTATATGAATGACATTTTTATTTAACAACTACAATCACAGTATATTGACTGATTTGTTGAACTTCCAACCTTGTAAGCATGTAATAATTATGTTT